TGACCGCAAAAATGAGGGCCATAGAGTGAGATTTTTCAATGTTTTAAAGCTTGAACTTATAGCCCTGGATGTTTTGAACATTTTCGGTTACTATGACTAAACCTAATTTTAACTCTAAAACCAAGTTTGAAGTCATTTTGCAAAAACGGACAATCTGTCCAACACAGTTTCAAAAAAAACTGGCAGCCACCAATTCAGCCAAACGGGACCCTTAAATGCTGAATTTTGATTTTTCACAAAAGTGACAATTTTAGTTTTCGACGAGAGGAAGAAATTTAACGAAGAAAAGATTTTCAAAATCCGACCCTAAGAGGTACTAAAACACAAATTCCCGAAACAGCACAGTTTTTGACTAAAACAGTTTCAGAAAAAAAAACAGCAGCAATGGTTTTCAGCCAAACGAGGCCTTTAGAGGCCGAATTTCAATCTTCACTAAAAACGACAATTTTAGATCTCGACGAGACGAGAAATTGTCGCGAAGAGCAAAATTTTGAAATCCGACTCTAAGATACAGTAAAACGTAGATTTCAGAAACTGCACAGTTTTTAACGAGACAAAACTAAAACAGTGTCGGTTTCAACAAAAAGTTATAAAAGAACCCGAGATAGAATTTTAGTAAAATACAATGACATTAAACCTCATTTTAATGAAAGTATTCATAAAGGAATTTTTCAAGGAAAAATGATTTCTTTAAAGAACGTAGAGGTTTACCGAGCGAATTATCCCGACGGGTACCTACGAGCCCAATACGATAGGTCCGTAGAATTTCGAATATTTAATGTGGGTCCAACGCCCACATTAGTTTAAGAGACTCCGTTGGAGTATAAATTTCAGCGGCGTAAAAGTTAGAATGCCATGTATAAGTCCTAGGTTGAATTGGGCCTTAATATCATACCAAGGGAAATTTAGGAAAATAAGATTTTGAAGATTTAATAAATTAATCTTTATTATCCTTTAGTAAAGGAAAGGAATATATGCCTTATGGAAATGGTTAGATTTTCCTTCATAAGTTGCTAAAATAAAATAGCAAATAATAGTTAATCTCACACTCTTAATGGGTGTTCAGTTTCAGAAGAAATCAAGAGACTAGGCTGATAGGCGAAAAAGGGATTCCAGCTTTGAAAATCAAGTAAGTAGGAATCTCGCCTATAGTATAAATAGATTTTAAAGTAAACAGTACACATGAACTATATATGTTTGAGTACATTTAATGTTATGAATGCTATGCTGTGTTATACTACATACACTTAAGCAATACACCCGCATTATATGTGTTCGAGTACGTGATATAGTATGCTATGCTAGGTCATATTGCATACACCTTAATAAGTCAAGAGGAACTTATAAGAGTAATCTCAGTTGAGTGCCGTACCAGCCTCCACAAGGGAGGTAACTCAAGCTCCACAAGGGAGAAAAAAATAATAATAATGATGTCCTCCGACCCAAGGGAGGCATTCAAGTTATAATCACGGTGTCATGGGGGACCTTGCAAACCCCCACGTCCCAATGATTGCGCGCAAGTGGTACGAGCACTCGGGCCCATCAGTAAGAAAGATAAGATAAGATAATAAGATTCTGATAAGACATCATAATTAAGCATAATTGGCTCATGCATATTTATTCATGTGAACTTACAGTTATTTTGCGGGAGATAGTTCCTACTTGCTGAGCGAAAGCTCATTATAGAATGTTTATACTGTAGGTAAGCAACCCGCATATAATGCCTGATGGACTGCTGGCGAGTGGACGAACGATGTGGAGCTCGGGATATGGATACCACTCGCAAATATTTCCGCAATCAGCTTTATGTTACAAATAGTTTTGTTAATTATGATTATGAAACAGATATGTTAAGGTTTGAATATTTTAATTAAGAAAGCAATTTCGTATTTTATGTTTATAAAAAGACCCTTAAAAAAAAAAAAAAAATGTTCTTCAGTAAGTACAAGTTAAAAAGTTAGTTACAGTGGCGGCCTCAAAGGAGGGTCGCTACAATATTAACCGGGCGTCTCAGATTAAGAAAAAAAATTATAAATTATATCTTCTTAAGTACATGATTTATTAAAAGTACTCATTTTAAAAAACTCTATCTCTTTACTAGTTTAAGTCTAAAAAGTAAAAATATCCATGCAAATGTTTAAGGAATAGAAATAATTGGGGACTTTACTTCAAGTGGTATTTTTAAAAATTTCCCAACAAACAATTAATTACACTTAATACTGTTACAAATGTAAATTAGGTAGACCACCAGACTTAGGAAAAAGGGGGCTTAATTAACCTGCACTAATCATAATCTTGGTTTTTTTTTTTTTTTAGTAAAATGAACGTCTTCCTTTAGAAGATTAATCAATCAGTTGATATAGCACTTTAAAAGCTGCACCAAAAGAAATAAATGTGCATTTCATATGTGTACTTAATAATCTATAATCTATGATGGCATAATGCAATATCCACTTCATCAGAGATAGATATTTTTCTTGATGGACAGAAATAAAATATCCCTGCATTGTAGGCTACACAAGAAATATTCATATTATTCGTGCAATAATTGTTTCTATTGCTATGACCCTCAAAAGATTGCTTTTTCACCTATCATCAATCAGCTTATGATCACTACTATTCAATCCCTTTTCCTTACCTTTTTTCCTGTAAAAAATTGAGTTAATTGTACTGATACATCCTAAACTTTCCGTATTTAATAACTTGGATCCTAAATTTTTATTTTTAATGCTAACAAAAATTAATTTCTTTTAGTAGATTAAAGGAAAAAAAAATACTCTGCTGACATTATCAAATTCTGTTACATTTTATGCACACACACATATATATTTTTAATTTTAATGTGTATAATTCAGATGTGATAAGAAAATCCTTTGTTTTTAAATAGACAAGCAAAATCAAATTTACACTCACCATATATAATTTCACCTTTTCATACAACATAAAAGTAAATAGTATAGGATCATATTCGAATGCACAAGTAAAACGAGGATTAAATAATCATAAAATGTGGAATTGCTGGGGACCAGTGGCCTAATGGAGACATGTGGTAAGTGTCAGGATAATATATATGCAAGACATGATCAGCATTATTATTCTCTCTTCCCAGCAAAAAAAAACATTATTATTTTCTCTGCAGAGATTTCTGCTAGCTAGTTTTTATATTTCCTTCAAACTAAGTTTGTTTGTCATCTTCTTTCACTTTATTCTGATGCATATGTCCTCATTAATTCTACCACCTCTGTGTGTGTGTGTGTGTGTGTGTATATATATATATATATATAATATAAGGAAATATAGTAAGAAGATACTGAAATTATACATATACATATACATATATGTGTGTGTGTGTATATATATATATATATGTATATATATATATATGTATATATATATATATATATATGCTCTTATGTGATATGTCGCAGAAAGAGTGCCAACCTCGTTGAGATATTTTCTTGCGCCTTAATACTAATTGGCTTCTCTCATCAGAACTGAAAAAATATATGCACTTTCTTATTCATATTTATGTTTTTAATTTCGTTAGAACTATTGTCTATTCGTTGCACAACTTTCAAGTTGTTTGTCTTTTACTCTGATATGAATGGATTATACTAGTTTAAAAGAAATTATGAGTTAAAGTTGGTCAAATTTCTTACATTATAGAACTAGAAAAAGAAAGGATGGATAACGACAAGAATTTGGACTCTTCTGCTTCAATTGATATTTGTTGTTCTAAATAGTTGGGCTTGGCCGCTTGGGGAATTTGAAACAAACGACAGGATTTCAAGGGGTCAGAAGGTGAAAAAGAAACGACATCAATTAGAAACGATATAAGTCTGAACACTGGATTTATTACATTAGTACAAGCGGCAACATTTCATTACACGTCTCTTAGAAGCCAAATTATGAAATAAAAATAACCGACTAAAAACGACGATATCACGTAAAAAGACAAAAAAGAAAAGAAAAGAAAAGAAAAGAAGAAAAACGACAATGCATATAGAAAGCGACATACAATTATTAAAATGACAGTAAAATGAAAACGACAACAGAAATGCCAATATTAAGGAGAAACGACAAGCAAGCTTCTAACAAACGACAATAACCTTGAAAACGACTATGCTCAACCTATGTCTCAGTCACCTAGAACAATGGTAACAACCATATCCTCTACGAACGACAACAACGCTATTAAATGACAAGAATGCTGTAAACGACAAAATTGTTGAAACGGAGCAACTTTGCACAAAGACGACATGTCATACTAAAAAAAAAAAAAAAGACGATGTTTCGTTGAACTACTACATCGCATTTTTACTAACCACAGTCCACAATTAAACGTAAATTAAATCATAACAAAAATGACAGCATCAAACAAAACGACAAGAATGCCATAGAAACGACAACCTACCGAATAAAGACTATAGTTATAGCACAAAAGGAAAAAATTATATGATAAATAATAGGTTTGAGAAAATTACAACATCAATGCAGATTAAATTTGCTGCATAAAACGACAACTTCTCATATAAACCACATTCGCATGAACACTTCTCATATCCACATTTATATAGACCACCACAAAGTAAAAACGACAAGCATCTAACAACTAGCAGTTATACTACAAAACGACAGTAACTTTTAAGCTGTAGATGACCTTTTTGTAATGCCAAAGGCCAGTGTTTCGTTGGTGAACTCAAGCCGAGATCGAAGACAACAATAACAACGTCTCTTTATCAGTTTATCTCTTTAAACGGCAACAGATAGAGGAGAAAAAAAAAAAAGAACAGTAGGCTAATTCTTATGAAAACCCAATTGCCATTTGCTTGCTTAAATGAGGAGCAAACGACAAAGTGTTTTTTATACATCATTTATGGACATTATAATTACATCTAAGGAGATCATTTTTAAACCAAAATCTACCCCAAAAAAAAAAAAAAGAAAAGAAAATCTAGTAATCTTATACGTCAATATTTTTTTTAATAGAATCTTATACGTCAAATTGCATAGACAGTCTTATACTCATTGTTGAGTATATCAGAATCTGACATCATTGAAAACATAGATCCGCTACTACTTAATGCTGACCTTCTATTTCTAATTCTTCTAATCTTAGAAGCCTCAATTCTATTGACAATCACCCAATAACACATTATCCCAAGTGTCGTTGCCATAACAAATGTCCCCACGAAAGTTACTCCAATGGCTAATCTTTTGTGATGATCTCCCACAACTATATACGACAACGCTAAAAACGACACCGAAACCATCACACAAGCCAACCACATTAGCTTGTTTATGCAAGCCATGAGTCTCTTCTTTGCCTCTCTTTGTATCACAACTATTGAGGTTTGGACCACCACAACGGCTAGGGACAAGAAGAGTGCAAAAGAGTCGAATGTGAAGAAGATGACGAACTCGATTCTAGGACCGATCAGGGCTTCTCCGGTCGAAACGTTTCGAGGGAGTTTGTTGAGGTCGTCGGCGTAGAGCCCTGGGACTGAGAACATTGCGGAGAAGGCGACAGTGGAGATGAGGACCGCGACAACTGTGGTGGAGTTTATGGCGTTGTTGAGGCCTTCTAGGTGCATTTTGTTGAGGCGTTTCACCATTTGTTGGACCCGTTTTCGCGTTTGGCAGGTGTGATGGAGTTGGTTGTGCACCTCATGTTTTATGACACTCACGGTTTGTTTTAGCTCATGGGACTGGCTTCGAGAGCTTGGTGGTTTGATGAGTTTTGCGGTCTGAATTCCGCGGCCTACGAGAATGGCTGCAATGGCTGACTGCCCGTTTCTCTCCGCAGTGTCTAGAGCGGTTTCTCCTTGTTTGTTGATGGTGGTTGTGTCTATTTCCTTGTAATTTAGCAGCTTCTCAACAATCTACAAGAAGTAGTATAATAAATTGGCTTGGTTTGACAGTGTTCTGCTTTTTTAGCAAGTATTACTTCTATCATTCACTTGCAAAGTACAAAAACTATAATATGCAAAATATTTTCTCCTTGTAAGATCATAAATCAACTAAGGAAAACTTTTTATCACCTGGGCTCTGCCTTTCCTGGTAGCTATATGCAAAGCGGTATTGCCCTTGGCATCAACCATGTTTACCAAAGAAGGGCTTGACTTCACCAATTCCGCCACTATTTCAACATTACGTCCCTTAGCTGCCATATGAAGAGCTGTCTGTCTTTTCTTGTTGGTTTTTGCCGCAATTCCCGGTTCTTTGAACAGAAGGGCCTTGACAACCATCAAATGCCCGTTTCTCGCCGCAGAATGCAGCGCAGTTTTGCAGTTGCTTCTTGCTATGGTGGCCAGGCTGCGGACATTCTCCAAGAGAAAGTTTACGACTTCAACGTGGCCTTGTGACGTGGCGGTGTGCAGTGCCGTGGAGTTTGATGGATCCACAGTCCTTGCAAGTTCCGGAATAGCCTCCATTAGGACCTTTAATACCCCTGAAACACAAAACAGAACAATGATTTTAGAAGTTAATTCTTTCATAGACTACAACAATCCTCTTTGAGTTTTGTTTCAAACATTTTGCAGAAGAATGAGAAAATTTGAGCAGGAGTCGGGTTATATAGCATTTTCCTTACCTAAATTGCCTTGCTTGGAAGCAATATGGAATGCGTCAAAGCCATTTCTAGCTCTAGTGCCAGCTGAATCAATGTCATAGTGCTTCATCATTTCCTCCACCAACTCGACATAACCGCATTCGGAGGCGACATAAAGTGGGGTTTCACCGGAGTGATTCTGCTTCGACAATACCTCCTTCAACTCTCCATCTTCACTTGTTTTGGAGATGATTTCCTTAACCAATTCTAGAGCTCCTGATCTTGCTGCCAAGTGCAAGGGATTGTCTCCGCGCTCTCCCGACGACCGTCTTGTCATCTTAGGCTAGTTATGTGACGACCCTCCTATGAGGCCGCCACTGTAACTTAAACTTTAACTTGTACTTACTGGGGTTTCTTAAAATTTGCGGAACATTTTTTTTTTTTAATATAAGAAAGAATACTTTCATAATTTGTAACAATAATTTCAAATAAGTGAATCACTAAATTTCTTAAAGCTTTTCTTAATTTCAGTTAAGATAAAACGTTCTAAAAATATCTTTCAAACAGAGCAGCATTTGAACTCTTATTTCAAATACTCTTTAAAAGCCTTTCTAAAACTAGCCAATTCAATCAGGCCATTTAATTTTGACTTTAAAACGGATTTCGTGAGAAATCTTAAATTCAAGTACATCTTAAAGCCCTTTTAAAATCAATCGTTTAAATCGTCATGTTTAAAATTTGTTTATTTGTTGCATG